GCCTCGTGCCTGGTGGCAGGAAGCCTAAAGTGCTCATTAAAGCCCTGCTGCTCTGCCAGCTTCACTTGCCCAGCGCCTGGGCAGCTCGGGCCACACTGCGGCCGCCCACCGGCAGGCTGAGCGTAGCCCCAGTAGTAGCCCCCAGCTGAGCCCACCCGTGGAGCCAGCCCTGCTGTGTGCACGGTGCATCCCCAGCTGGGATTTAGGGAAGCCGTGCGTAGCCTCGCATGGCTGAAAAGGGAGCTCCCTGTGATTTTTTTCAAGGAGTTGATGCTTTCATGCTGATGGCTTCCGGGTGGGAATGATGGAGGCGGCACTGGTGTGGGTTTCCTGTGCTGCGCTGGTGCCAGGAGCTGCCTGTCCCAGCTGCATTGCTGCCCTCACCCGAGGCACGGTTGTCTCCACGTTATTCTGATGTGCCTGTGGCGATGGGGCAGCCGAGTCTTGCTCCCTCCCATGCTGCAGCCCAGCCGAGATCGTGCTTGCATCCCGCCTTGAGCACCATGATCAGCTGAGCTCAGGCACCAGGGATGGGTGAAGCTTTTAGCAAACACTGCAGCTGCCTTTGCAGAGTACTCGAGTGCTGCGAATGAGCAGCGTGCTCCTTGGCAGCCACCCTCATGAATATTTTAGCTCGGAGAATTAACATTTGTCAAGAAGCATTTATGGAGGCAGCGTGGATGTCTCTTCCCCAGGCGCTGCAGGCTCACTGCTGCTCTGGGGCGGCACTGGGAGCCAGGGCAGAGCCAGTCGGAGCCTGAGCCCTTCCTGTCCAGCGTCACGGCGGAGCAGGACGGCAGAGCCGCTATCTCCCCCTCGGGACAGCCGGGCCCTGGTGCCAAGGCAACCAGCCCGCCATGTGAGATAGACAAATGGTTGTGGGTTTTTTTTTTTTCCCTTCCCCTCCTGGTTCTTGGCAGAAAGTAAAATGTCCCTTTTGTTTGGTTTCCTCCTCCCCCTGCCCCATCGCCTTTCTTTAAAGGTTGTGTTCCAGATTTCATCAACCCACGTTGTGTAATAGCCCTGGAGAACAGCGTGGGCATTGGCCGTGTCCCACCGAGGCCATGGCAGAGCCGCTCCTCGGGATCTTGACCGCAGGGTTACCTGCTCAGAAAACATCTTGTGTACAGTTGCTGAGCAAAGTTCTGTTGTATTTCGGATCGAGCTCCTACAATGCCCACACATTAGAAATGACAGGGAAGGTAGTTGGAGAAAATTTGGAAATTGTTGAATCTAACGAATCCTATACTTCTATCTCAGACCTGCAAAACCGTATGGAACTGAGGGACTCTTGCAGATAAATCCTGTTGATGTACAGCATCAGCCCCATGCGCCTGGGAGTTCATTGCCCATGGAGCGTCCAGCACTGCGCATCCTCCTGCCGCAGCACCTGGCTCTCCCGCAGAATGCTCTGCTTGGGCTTGTAAGAGGTCCGCATTCTTTCTTTCCCTCCTTTCCACTGTCCAGATTGGGGGATGCTGCAGTTGCTGGGCTCCACATCTTAAGAGCATCCATCCGAAGGTCCCTGCATCTTGTCTGGAGGCCGCTGGCATTGTGGATGTGGAGAGCATGGTGTGATTCGTGTCCTGGGCACCCAGGAAGGGAGAGGAGGAGGAGGAGGAGGAGGACATACTGTAGGGTTTGTGTAGTAAGGAGGGGGACGCTGTGCACACGTGTGTGTGTAAATATGGATCTGTCATACCAGAGGGAAACAGCAACACAGTTGTTTCTTGGCTCCAGTTCCTCTGCTGGTACTGGCAGCGTGGAGAGCTGTAGCTGCTCATATGGTGCGGGTGCTGCCTTCTCCGTGCCAGCACATGGTGAGCAATGGGGGGCTGCTCTGCTTGCTGGGCCGGAGGTGACCAGTGCCACTGAGGAGAGCTACTGCTTGTGATGGTGATGGTACCCATAGTGGTGTCCTCTGCTGGTGCACTCTGCTGGGCTTCCTCTCCTCTCCCCAGTTAAAAGACACACGCAGGCACCAGATCCAGTCGTGGGGTAGCTGTGTGCTCCATCCTTGACAGCAGTATGGGAAATGGCAAAGGTAGGACCAGCGCCTGGGGACAGGGTTGTCCCGAGGCAGGGACCGGCGGAAGCCAGCAGCTGGAGCAGGAGCTGAGCCTGAGCGTCCACTCCTGCCTCACCTGGACACAAAGCCTCCCCATGGCCCTGGGGTCTGACGCTGGGTTCAACCTTGTATCAAAGCATCTGCTCTTCAAAGGGCTGGTTGAAGTCCCAGCCTTGTTATTGTTTTGGCGTCTCTGCTGTGTTACACCTCCCTGCTTTTGCATTTATTTATTCCCTTCCAATTGCTGGAGCCACGCAGTCCTCACCTGGCCTGGGACCAGTCTGGGGACCAGCTCTGCTTGTCCTGCCCTGGGGATCCCCAGCCCTGAGAAACCCCTCAACATGGAAATGGGTGCTCAGAGGTAGAGAAGGGGTCCATGTGTCCTCATCCCCTGCTGCAGAGCCTCTCCCATCTCCCCTGCTTCCACACCACTACCCTGCAGCTTCGGCACGAGGGCTGTCCCTGTTCTCCTGGTTCCTTGGGGAGAGCAGCTGTGGGCCATTGCCAGCTCCTCTGCCAGGGATCCCCGGCTGGTTTTGGGGTGCTTCTGGGTTGCAGTGCTGCCCGAGCCCCGTCCTTTGCCTCAGTGGAGTTTGCATGTGTGCGTACATGTTTCTACCTGGCACTATTTGCATTTCGCTTTGCTTCAAAGTGCCTGCGCTGCCTCCAAGGAAGGAAAGAAATAGGTGTAAAGGAATTTACATCCTGAGTGAGTGAAGCTGCTGGTCAGTCGGGTTTCATTTGCTGTTGAGAGGTGTGGGGGTGCAGAGGGGCTACTGTGGGGTGGAGGATTTGTCCCTGGTGCCCATCCTTGTCCCCAGCTGCAGGTGCAAGGAGAGCAGTCCCAGCTTTGCTTGCAGCCCCTCTCCTGGCGTCCTGGGTCGGAGGCACAGTGGTGGACAGGGACCCATGCGTCAGGCTGTGTGTTCACCCTCACAAGGAGGGGTGCACGGCAAAACCACTTCACAGGGCTGGCATGGCGGTGTGGGGGCCCCAAACCGGCTCCTCCGCTCCAGGCATGCTTGGGTCAGGTCTGGGTGTGAGCAGTGGGGGAAGCCGCCCTGAACACTGCCATGGGGTTAGAGGGAGGAGAGCAGGCGGGTTTCGCAGGGAGCTGTCTCCTCTCCTCCTGTGCCAGCTCCCTGCCAAATCCCTTCGAAGCCTCCCAGGGAGTCGAGGGGTGCCTGTGGCAAGAGGGACCAATGGCCCAGAGTCCCTGTGAGGGACTGGGGCTCCCTCCTGGAGCCACCCTCATCCCCTTTTTTCCCCATCCTGGTTGTGTTCCCTGGTGCAAAAATGCTCTCGGTAGGGAAGGGGGTCAGACCCAGACCTTACAGTCCTGGAGGCTTTGGCTGTGCTGAAGGCCAGCAAGACAAAAACGTTTCCAAGACTCCACTTGGAACAGGAGAAAGTTTTTCCGTTGGGTTTTTATAGCTTCCGGAAAGCGGGGTTTTATTTTTGTTGTCTTAAGACAAAAAAATCCTCTTAGAGCTGACTACCCGCAGTGGTGCAGGGCGGGCGGCTGTGCATGCACTGTGCCGGGGGTCTGGGCTCCGCTTTGCTCTCCCTCCCTCCCTCCATCCCGTGGGGTCTGTGGATGCTGATGCTGGTTTCCATGAAGGAAAAGAGAAGGTTTTGGTGTCCCTCATGCACAACTGGTCCCATTTGTGTGCCCATACTGGGCACTGATGCTGCAGCACCCAAGATGGCTCCATACCACCCCGGGCTGTCGTAGGATGCTCCCGCCTGGGGACATAGCTGCAGGGAAAGCCCTTTTCCTGGGAAAAGGAGCTATTTCCCACAGCCCACAGATGGGTAAACCAGGGGCTTTGTGGGTCTAATCTGAATTTCCAGGGGTAGTAAGCTGTGGCCATCGAGCTCTCCCCAATTGCTCCTTCTTTGCATGGCACAGGCTGCTTTTGGAGGGGTTTTACTGGCAGGGGAAGCAGTTTCCATGGTGAAAACCATAACAACATTGCCAAAAATCCATCTCCCCGTTGGCCCAGCCATCTGGAGGGCACAAGGAGGCTTTGGCAGGGTGAGGAGGTGGCTGCAGGCTACTTTGGGTGCCCGTTCGGTGCCGTGGGCAATATGGAGGGGTCCCTCTGCTCGGTCATTTATGCCCCAAGTGCAGGTTTGCATCAGGATGTGGGGGGGGACCCCAGTGTCACCGAGCCTGGTGGGACACAGGCAGCTGGGGATAGTGGAGACATGGCATCACTGCTTGGGGAGGGAGGGCTGCAGGCACCATGCATGGGGAGCGGGTGGCTGTGCTGTAATCGGATGAGCCAGCCCCGCTCCAGATGGACCTGTCAGCTCTCGTCAGTGCTGACACCCCTCTGGGTCCCTCTGCATCCCCTTGGGCCAGGGGGGCCATTGCCTATACCACTTTGCTGTGTCTGCTTGGAGCAAGGGAGCTGGGAAGTGACACTGTGTTTGCAAAGCCTGTCAGACAAACAAGGTCCCTTCCGTGCTGCAGCCCCTTCCTGGCAAACCCCATGTTTTGTTAACTTTAATGGGAAAAAGCTGGCATGTGTGTCTGTCTGTCTGTCTATGGTGCCTGCCCAGGTGCCACCCCACCAGATAATTTGCAGCTGCAAACCCGAAGCCGGACACTTGGTGCCTTGCCTTGGCGTTCCTGTGCTACAGCGGGGCAGCCATCCTTCCTTGGACGTTCAGCATAGGAGAAGCATCTTGCTGGCAGCAGTGGACAGGGCTGGACTGGGCTGGCAGGAGTTATACTTGCTGGTCCGTGTCCCCATATCTGCAGCACAGGGCTTTGCTGTGTGCCATCCTGGGTCTGGGTATTCGTGGGCAGAGCATCTTGGTGTGTTAGATCCTAGTGTCTACCAGGAGAGGTAGTTGGGGCTCAATTCTGCACTCATCTGCTTGTTTCTTCTTAAACATTACTCCTTTCTCCTTCCCCTTGCAGCCGACAACCCTTCCACAGGGCACCATCAACATGAACCAGTGCACAGATGTGGTGGATGGGGAGAGCCGGACAGGGCAGAAGTTCTCCTTGTGCATCCTGACACCAGAGAAGGAGCACTTCATCCGGGCTGAGAACAAGGAGATCATCAGTGGGTGAGTGCAGGTCCAGGGCTGAGCTGCTGCAGGGCCCTTCCCTTAGCCAAGACGAAGAGGAGGGCAGGTAGGACTTTGCCCAAGGCCAGGTGCTGTGGCAGTGCGTACCCAGGCTGATCCCCAAGTGACGATCACAGCCTGCTGCAGTGACAGTCCTGGGGGCCTGGTGTAGCTGCTGTCTCACAGTCAGCTCCGCTGTTCTCTGCCTTTTTGGCAAATACGGGGTTTCTTTCCCCTTCCCCGCTCCCCTGCCTGGTGGACCCCTGCCATTGCCTGGTGCTCTGCAGCGGAGCGGGGGCCTGAGCACCCCCTGAGCCACCAGATTTATGGTGTGAGTGTGAGCACTGACTTCAGTGGAGACCTCTGTGGTGGTGGATGATTTAAGTCCTTCCTCCACACCTAGTGTGCTTGCTCAGCTGTGCTTGGCTGGAGCCTGAGGCTTCCCAACATGCCGGCCACCTTTCAGAGCCAGTGCTGAAGGAAGCTCAGCCTCTGCTGGGAGCCGTGGCCAGGCCCCGGAGCTGAGATGCTCCTGAGTCACTTGTTACTTATGAAGGCCACCGTTTTCAGGTCAGTTTTGTTGTCTGCGGTTGGGCAATATCCTGCTCCCTGCTGCAGAACAACACTCCCAGCAGCATTTACCCCCAGGAGCAAACTGAGCTACACTGGAGTGTTTGTGGGATGCTCAGAGGGAGCATCTGGTGCCGAGGTGCTCCTGGGCTGACTGTGGCAGCCTCAGCCCCAGCAGAAAGCAGCTGTTTACTGGCCGGGGGAAAACACTTGGCCGCAGGGTGAACACCAGGATGGGGCTGGAGCTGATGGGTGCTGGGGTGACCCCACAGTTCTTTTAGGACAGCATCCGATCAGACACCCAGCCTGCTGGCACAGGTCCTGTCCCCATGCCAGCGGCAGGTCCCGTAGTCCCGGGGCTGGCATGTCCGACCCTGAGCGCCGTGCACCCTCTGGTCCTCATCCGTCCCTGGGCAGACGTGGCTCCTGGGGCTGCCTGCTCTGCATTTACCCCATCCCCATTCAGATCCGCATTTGCAGCACCTGCCTTGCCCGGCTCGTTCCCTGCGGGCAGGTTGGCAGAGGGGGTGGATGCAGCCCACTCCCCTGGTCCCAGTGGAGCACCTGACCTCCAAGGATGATTAAAATATCATCGCTCATAGGAGAGCCTGCCGCTGCGATGCAGTTGCTCAGCAACGCTGAAGATTAGACCACTAAAATGAGCAAATCGCGGTAGATTTCCTGACTCCAGGTGTTGGATGGTGACCTAGAAACATCCTCGTCCATCGCTCACATGCTGGCTTGGGTTGAAGCCAGCGCTGTGGAGGGTGCAGAGCCATGCCGCCAGCACGCAGTGATGGACTGCAACGGTGCTGCTATTCACCTGTGAGAGTTTCCCATGTGGGATGTCTGGAGCTTGGTGCCTCAGTCCCAAAATTTGTTGACATTTGAAACTAGAGCAGAATGTTGAAGGGATGAAGCTCTTGCTCTTTCCCGCACTTCCTGAGTCACGGCGTCTCCTGCTTGCCTGAGCCCTGGCAGCAGCGGAGTCAGTGCTTTCTGTTGAGATGATTTCTATTTCCAAGCATTTTCTTTGGTTGTGACTCCCCACATTTTGGTAAATACAGGCTGAAATAAGCATTTTTCTACTAAGAGCTTGGGATTTTGATCAGATACATGTTTTCTTGCCTTGAGACTTCCCTGCTCTACTGAGACACATGAGTGTGGGTGATTCCCTTTCTGTGCATCGCCTTGGGCCGTCAGACCTGTCCTCCGGCAGCACGGCTTACCCCGGCCCTGTTTGCAGCGATGGGGTTGCAGTGACTGCGGGGCCAGGGTGCAGAGGCACGGGGCAATCGTAGCACAGCAGAGCCAGCTCCTCTCCTCCAGCCAAGGCAGGAGCAATGGCTGTGCCCCAAAACATGGCCAGCCCCCATGCCCTGCTCTTTTCCCCCTCTCCCCACCCTCCAGTTTGCAGCTCAGCCTTTTGTTGCTGGTCCTGCCCACCATGCAGGAGGGAGAGGCATTGCAGAGCAAGGTGGGGCTGATTTATTGTTCATTGGCCTGGCGCTGGATTTTGAAGCAGCGCGTTTGCTCCTGACTGCAAGCGTTAATCATCCCGAAACAGTCACAGTCTGGATGTGAGCCAGGCGGGTTTCATATGCAGTTGCAGCACGACAGAAAGATTTCCCCAGCCAGGGGAGAATTTGTTTTACGTTCGTTGCATGCTTCTGGCATTTATTGCTTAACCAAAACCCACTTGATGTGGTCATCTCAAAATGCTTTACAGCAGCAGCGTGCAAAGTGGGGGGGGAACAGGAGAGGGAAGCAGGGACATCTGAAGCAGGGATGTTTCCCAGCAGTCCACGGATCCCCGTGGACTTCACAGAGATGCAGGGGCAGGTCATCAGGCCATGGCAGGAGGGTCCCCCAAACAAGCGACTTGCGCAGGGTATGGACTTCTCAATGCCAAGTTCACACTGCTCTTTCTTGGACAAAAGCACTTTGTGTGCAGTGTGCAGGCATTGGCATTGCTGAAGGGGGAAGGTCCTGCCAGAGGCTCTGTCCCTCTCAGCTGTCTTTCAGGATCCTTGAATCCCTGTCCTATGTCAACCTTGGCCATGGCCTCGCTCTTGCAGTGAGTGGGGTTTGAGCCAAAGCACCCTGGGCTCATCCCTCCTCCCACCCTGTCCTGCCACATTTTTCCCCCAGGAGCTGGTTGGGATGATTTCTGGGTACTATTTGCCACGTTGACCCTGACCAGGTTGGAGAAGCTGAGCTCTTCTCTGTGCCCAGCGCCAGCTTGGGGTTGTGCTTATGGCCAAGTTACAAACCCGGGAAGGCTGGGGTTACTGGTGAAAGGCGGACGCTCCATCTCTGGAGCTTGCAGGTAGCCTGCCCCAGAGGTGGGATGGGGCAGCAGCTCCTGGGCAGTGTTGTCAGAGCCACCCATGGGGGGAAACAGCTTTGGCATCCGCAGCCTGTGGGAAGCTACCCCATGCTGAGGTGCGAGCGTCGTTCTTATCCCTGCGTGCTGCCTTTCGGCGCATACCTCACCTTTTATTTTGTCTGCCTGCAGGTGGCTGGAGATGCTGATAGTCTATCCAAGGACAAACAAGCAGAATCAGAAGAAAAAGAGGAAGGTAGAACCCCCAACTCCCCAGGTAACTCCAGGGACACATACACTGTTGTCTGGTCCCTTGCCTCCCTCTCAGGGTCACGGCATTGCTCTGCTCTTGGGAAGATCCCCCTAAACCAGCCGGACCAGTGGGCTGCCAGCCCTCTGATGCTGCCTACACAGAGGACCAGAGCTGGGGCAGGCTGGGGCAGCCAGATGGTGTGAATTCCTGGCCATCACTTCCCAGGGTCACATGCTGCTGCTGCTTTCCTGTCTGCTTTGGGGCCATGTTTTGCCCCCCGGGCACTGTCTTGTGGCACCAGCCTCACACACACTGTCCCAGGAGCAAAAGCACGTGGTCCTTGTGGGGGACCGGGAGAGGTGCTGCCTGTTCATGGGCTGTTTCGGCAGAAACAGGCTGAAATTCTGTCTGACTCTGGTTACCCTCTTTGAGATGACCCCAGAGATAATGGGAATGAAAGGAAAATACTAAAGGCCAGGGCCAGGCTGGGAGCTCTGGGGGCTGGAGCCGGGCTCTCCAGGGACCCGGCAGTGGCTTCGTGCTCACTTTGACTATAAATGGTAAAAAGCGGGGCTGGCCGTGACTCACTCGTTCCTGCCGGGCTCCCACGTGGCCGGGGTGGGGGAGAATCCCACAGATGGAGAACGTGACCCCAAGGCCACCCTCGTCCCTCGCCGGGGCTGAGAACAACCATGTCCCTGAGGCTGCCTGACCTCCAGGCGTGCGTCCCACTGCCGCGGGGAACTGGCTGAGAGGGCTCCTCCAGCCGAGCCGGACTGCAACACTGGGGGACTGAAAATAGCATCAGGGCTCCCCTGAACCCTGGTTTTCAGGTTCTCTTTGATGAAGTCCCCAGGATGGTCCTGGTGCAAACCGAGCCATGGGTGGGGTTTGTATGGTATTTGTTTGAATCGAGTTTCCACCACTCCACTGGGTAAAGAGGTTCTAGGCAAATGGGGAAAAAACTGGGGGGGGAGGATGATCCTTTTTTGCACCAAGCTGGAAGTCTGAGCCACCCCCTGCCAAGGGCTGGGGTCATCACAGCCCCTCAAGTGCTGGCTCCAGTGATGCTCCAGGGAAGATGCCTCCTCCTTCCGTGGCCAAGAGCTGACACGTTACAAGTTGCCTGTCCTCAAGCCCCAGGCAGGGGGCTGCCGCATTCAGGGCACCCCAACAAGCTGATGCAGCAGGGCAGGGATGCTCATCCCATCCCTGGCGCAACACTAAACCCAGCCTGGTTTCAGGAGGGGGATGGAGTGGAGAGGAGAAGGGGCGCAGAGCCAGAAAAACATCATTGTGGGTTACATTTCATCACCATGGCAACTTCTTGGAAACCATACAGGATCTGAGCTCCTGAGCACCAAATAAGGGAAGCGGCTGCGGGAAGGATGCTGGCTCCCCACGCGGGCAGACGGGCTCCCCAGGTGCTTGGGGATGGGGTGAGCGTGGAGCCTGGTGGCACTTTTCCCCACCTTGGCTTGGGGTGGACCATGCTACTCCAAGCCCCATCCCGCTTGCTACCCTCCTTCCACCCTCTCCATCCCATCGCTCCCAGCCCTGCAGCACCAGAGAAAGACTCAAATTCACTTTTGCAAAACCAACCTCCATGTGGGACCTACTGCCAGACGGATGCTGCACTGTGTCAGGCACTCCACAAGCAACTTGCAAAGGCAGAAGAAGCATCTTTCCTCTGTCTCCTTAATCGTGCCGATGCAGGCAGCTGGTCTGGGGAAGGAGAGAGGATGCTGGGGACCAAATCCCCCTCTGTGAAATGGCTTCTCCTGAAGTTGGCTGCTGTTCAGCTCACTCTCTGCATGCCGGCGGAGAAAGCCTGATCTCTTTCTAAAGACAGCTGCCCGCTAATCCGGCAGCGGATCATGTCTGAGAGCCACTCAGGGAGGGACAGACACCTTTAATTTGAAACAATGGATATTTCTGCTTTTTCTCACTCCAATGTAGTTTTTCCTTGTCCGTGCTACAGCAGAGGTTGGCTGCAGCCAGGCACTCCTGGGGCATCACGGCCATTTTCAACTCTCCCCATCATTTTGCATCTTCCCCTGCAAAATCACTGGGATGGGAGCGATGCAGGCGAAGCTAGGAATATCGCTCCAGCTGGAGATTTTTGGACAGGAATTGTTAGGTGCAATCCTAGAGGTGTTTCCACCTTCGCTTTGCAAGCAGGTTGCATCTTAGGGGAAAGAGGGCAGGTTTCTCCTGCAACTTTTGCCGTGCTCCAGCAGAGCGGTGCAGGCAGTGGGAGAGACTGGGCTTGCTGCCTTTGCCTGCCTGCTGTCCCTGGGAAATCGAGACAGGATTTGGGGCTGAAATCTGGGATTTGAGGCACAGCCCTCTGTTGCAGAATGGGTTTGCACAGGGGTACGACAGGCTACGGTAAGCAGAGCGTGCCCAGACATAGTTAATGCCAGTTTTGCCGAATTTAGTGCATGCTCCTTTTTGGAGCTGGTCATGTCACTGAGCAGCAAAGACCGAATTTCTCTGCTTGCTTATAGACTGCTTTTTGGCCCTCAAATCTGTCAAAGTAAATACATATCTGCAAATAATTATAAGAGGGTGTGTGTAAGGAATATATAATAATATATATCCTGAGCTCGCGATTAGCTTTGGGCTTCCAGATCAATGACTGAGAGAGTGGTTGAGGTTGGAAGGGCCCTTGGAGATCGTCTGCTCTGACCCCCTGCTCAAGCAGCATCCCCTCAAGCAGGATGCCCGTGAACTCTGGATCATTTACCTCCAACACTGCATTCCTTCAGAGTGAAATATCCAAGTTGTTTGTTTTGTTTGGTTTTTTTTAAATTGAGGTCGTTTGCTACTTGTTGTGGCTGTACACGGAACCAGGACACGCTCCCTGGGAGATACCCCAGTGGCTCCGGCGCAGCCCTGCAAATGCTGATTTGGAGGTGCAGGGCTAAAACCCACCAGCAGCTCTGCTGACATGGGAGGAGAGGATGGAGGGGATGCTCTTTGCAGCCCATGTCCCCAGGCTGTGGCTGCTGGCTGAGGCGTTCCTGGATTCCCCCTGCTCCATGGAAAGGGAACAAGCAGCCGGGAAGCTTCCCACAATGCAGAGACTTTGAAGGGGGGCTAATTGTCATTGATTTATTAGTGGCTTCGAGGAAAATAATCTGCTAATGCAGAAGCTTAATACGACAACAGCAAAACATCTGCTAGTGAACAAGACAAACCCTGAACAAGTTGTGAAAGCTGCTTCCTCTTCTGGGGCATGCACTGAACCTGGGCTGCCTGGGCTGCTGCCACCAAAATGGCGTCGGCATCGGCATCCAGAGCCCCTCAGAAGCGTTTAAGGTGGTGGGTGTTGTTTTAAAATAGCATAAGGCTCAATGTGATGTTATATTTCCTTTTTAAGAGAAGCGGCCTGTTCGGTGAGCAAAGCACCTGGGAGGAGTACAGCGCTGGTTGAGTTTTATTCTTTTTATCAGTGGCCCATAGCAAACCAGCTGTGACAAACAAACAACACAGCTGCTAGTGGCGAGGAATTAATTTCCTCCTCCATCCCATGTCCTTTAGCTTGATTTTTATTTTTTTTTATGTTAGTTAAACACTGAGAAAATTCAATCCTGGCAAATGGGACCCAGGAGAGAAGCCTGGTCTTGGTCTGTATTTGTGACAGGCAGCAGCTGTCAGAGCTGAACCAGCCCAGAGAGGGACCAGGGATGTGCAGATGGACTGGGGACATGGAGAAGGATTGGGGACATGGAGAACGACTTGGAGACAAGCAGAGGGAAATGGGGGATGCTGAGTTTATTTGCATCAATTACAGAGGATGCACTCTCACCCCAAACTGGGTTTTGGCAGAGGCGAGGGGAGCATTTCCAGGTTCCCCGTGAGTCAGGACCCAACAGACCTGTTTCTCTGTGGGGTCTGCAGCATTGCACGTGAAGTCGGGTGCATAGCCCCACATGTGCGCTGGGCGGCTTTTGGGAAGAGCTGCTGTGCTGGATGTAAGCGGAGCTGTGCAGGGCCCTGTGTGCTGGGGACGAGTTGAGCTTTTCCCAAGGAGTTACATATTGGTGGCTGCTGCATCCTGCGTGCCACACCGGGAGGGGCAGTTCCTATCCAAAAACAAAGCCGGTGAGCCCCTCCACTGCCACAGTGCCCGGCTGAAGGTCTCCTTCATTTGTCAGCTTGCCTTTGCTCTGGATCTTTTCCCAGTTGGATGCGTGGGGGGGTGCGGCTGGTTTTGGGAGCCCTCCCTGGTGATGGACATTTCCTCTCTTGCTGTGAGAGTGGCGATGGTCCCTGCGGCCAAGGAAGTCCTGACCCATCACCCTGCCATGCTGCCCTGGAGGAAGGTTTCCACCTCCAAGCTTGTCCCCTTGGGGATGCGGTGGTGGCACATGGCTGAGCAGCCCCGTCCCCATCCCTGTCCCCGTCCTATCGTGGCATGCATCGTGGGCAGCACCCAAGCCATATGGGTAGCGTCGCTGCGTTGGGGGGCACCACAAAAGCCATATGGGACACACGCCTGCGGGGACAGCGGAGCTGGGGCAAACCCCTCTAACCCTGCTGTCTCCCCCATTTTCTTTAGGAGCCCGGTCCTGCTAAGATGGCCGTGACCAGCAGCAACATCCCTAGTGCAGAGAAGGTCCCTGCCACCAAATCCACGCTTTGGCAGGAAGAAATGAGGGGCAAGGACCAAGCGGATGGCGGCAGCAGCATCAGCCCAGCGCAGAGCCCCGTGCAAGGCCAGGCCGGGGCTGCCAGCTCCCTGAAGGATCCTGTGCTGGACAGCAAGGAAGGTGAGGGACAGGAACAACACTGCAGTGACCTGGTTCAGGCAGCTGAGCTGGCAAAAAAACACTGTACAGGGAAAAGTTTTCCACAGATTTGGAAATCTGTGGAAGTATCCCAGAGTATCCCAGCAAGGAGGGGGAGGCAGCCCCCATCCCTGCTGCGTCGTGCAGAGACCGAGCGGGACCTTACAGGATGGAGTTGAGGAAGGAAGAAAAATTGCATCACATGCTGGAACACCACACAGCATGGGGCCCAGCCTGCCCTGGCAGGGAGATAGGGCTGCCTGGCCTCGCAGGCAGTGTTGCCCTTGTGCTGGGGGGAAAATGCCTTTTCTAGCCCCACTATGTCCCCGCCTGGGGCATCCAGAGGGTGTGGGGCCACGCTGTGCTCAGCCCTGCTGTTGGAGCTGCCAAGCCCTGAGTGCTGCTTCCTCCTCCGGCCCCTGCGTCAGGGCCCTGTTTACATTTGGTCTCCCTGATGAGTCCCTGGAAGGCGCCGGGGCAGCGGCATTGTTCTCACTGGAACAATAGGGGCTGGGGACTCTTCCTGCTGGGGCCATGGACAGGTCCCACACACTGCGGCTGTTTCCTTTATCTGTCCACTCGGATGGGGGATGCTTTCTGCCTGCTTCCTGCTGCCGGGAGCGAGGTGTCCATCACCTTGCACCATGTGGTCGATGCCAGGCTGGGAAGGACTGGGATGGAAATGGGTGCAGAGCGGTAACCACAGGCATCTGTTTTTTGGTTTGAAAGTTTTGGTCTTTCAACTGTGCAAGCCCAGCCCAAGGGTTGGACCAGCATCCCCATCTCCGTGCAGACCATTGCACCATGTCCATGGGCATGAAGGGTGGTCAGGGTGGAAAAGCCAGGGGTGCAAGAGGTGGTACAACGTGGGACCGGGGCCTGGACTGTCTCTGCTCTCATTTCCTGCCCCTGTCCTGGGTGGAATCAAGGTGATTTTTGTTAAAAAGCAGAACTCCAACTTGAAACCAAGTGTGGTGACTTCTTTGTCCCTTAGATGAGAGCTCCATGAATGGAGACCGGATAGACTGTGGGCGGAAGACGCGTGTCGAGAGCGGGTACTTTTCCTTGGAGAAGACCAAGCAAGACTCGAAGCTGGAAGAGCAGCAGCTGCCACCCCCGCCGAGCCCACCCAGCCCCAGCACCCCGAACAACAGGTACAGTTATCCCAAATCGCCCTCGCAGGAGCATGCCCAGCCCTTTCCTTCCCCAGGTACCCGATCAGGCGACCGAATGATTCACAGCTTCTCTCTGAACTCCTTGGACTCGAAGAGCAGTTGCCCCATGCACAAGGACTCCAGCAGCAGAGATGTAGGAAGGGGAGCTGAAAAATCGGGGCGTCCCCTTTCTTTTAAAGCCAGCCGGCAGTACACCACCTTGGCCGACGTTCCCAAGGCCATTAGGATCAGTAATCGTGAGGCCTTCCAGGTGGAGAGGAAGCGGCTAGAGCGGAGAACCCGGGCCCGTAGCCCTGGGAGAGAAGAAGTGGCCCGGCTCTTTGGCAATGAGAGAAGGTAAGGGATGAGTGGCTAATCTCCTCCTTGCATGCTTGCAATAGCAGCGAGGCTGGGTTCCTGCTGCAGCCCCGGACGGAGCAGGCCGTATTTGCTGGGTGAAGCCCCTTCATATTACAGTGCTCCTGGGTTTAAGGACATCCATCCACACTGGGCAGAGGGATGTCCTTAGTAGTGCCAGCGGTAAGGTGTCACCCTGCCTGGCTGCTCTGGGGACAGCTGGTAGAGGTGGGTGATATTTGGTGGCCGTATTTGCAAGCAAGCCCACCTTCCCAGGCACAGCACATGCTGGCAGCTGGCGCCATTAATTAGGTTAGCTTTCTAAACGGTGTTAGAGCCGGGTGCGTTACACAACTGCTTAATGAGCTGAGAGAGGTTTCAAAATGCCACAGCATTAATCTGGGAGAGGAGAGGCGGGTGCAGTGCCGAGGCAGGGCGCAGCGGGCTGCAAAACAGCTTAGTGTGGAGGAGGACAGGGAGGGCGTCCGCACGCACGCCTGCACCGCGCACTGGTGTGCTTGGTGCTCTCTGGGCGAGGTGAAAGACAGGCTCGACTTGCCTTGGGAGAGACATTTGTGCTGTGAGGGCAGCAGAGCAAACCGGGAGACAGGCCCCAGGCGAGAGGGCCGCCTGCCAGTCTGATTTTCTTGCCCTGATTTTCCTCCGGGCATGTTCTCTCTTGCACGATTTCAGCAGGCACTTCTCCTCTGTTTCTTCCCAGCCCCTAAAGGACTGTTTTCCAGCCTGGCTTCCTCATGCCAAGAGCTGGGAGCAGGTCTGGGGAGGGCAGCACAGCTTTGTGTCGGTGCCACCGGTTGGCAGGAGGATGCCAAACCCAGCCCGGCCTTGGCAGCGTGCACAGTGAGTGCCAGGCTGGGGATAAAGGAGAAGACCGTGGTTTTGGCTTTCTCTGCCTTGGGAATTGGGTGGGAGGAGAGGGATGCCACGCATGGCCACCCTGGCTAGGGATGAGGCTGAGGAAAGGCTGGTGACTGCAGACTGAACTTTGCACACTGAACTGGTGCAGCATGTTGGTCCAGGCGTGGGCGAGATCATGGGTTTGCTTGCACAGGACGTCCTGGCCAGCGCCTGCCCCAGTGTGAGAGGACAGCACGTTCCTCCGGTGCCAACAGTCCCTTGCTCCGGCTCCAGGGGTATCGTGCAGCACCGGGATCTGGCACAGAGCTGGGATGTGCCAGCTGAGGACAGGGAGGAGCAGATTTACAGGCAGATAATGGGGCCTGGGAGAGGATGCTGCTGCCAGAGACTGATCTTTTTTAATGTTAGCCCCACTCATTGCCTGCTGATGGGTGCCTTTTCCCAGGGAAAGTCTTCTTCCCAGCCCAGCTGGGCTCCTGGGGCTATTAACAGGGTTTTATTGTTTTATCAATATTGGCAAAAATTTGCCTAGGTCAGCTCAGGGCCTTTTTCAGAGCAGGATGGGTGTAGGGAGAGGAGTGGGCACTGCACCAGGCACAGAGGTCTTCCTGCCTGCAAGACCAGCATTTGGGAGGGGGGGCGATGGCAGAGAGCAGAGCAAGGGATCCCCACTTGCCAGAGGGTTTGGCTGGGGATCGCAGCTGGTGGTGCCGGAGGAGCGTGCCCTAAGCAGGGGTGGCTCAGCGGGCAGTGTTCAGGGTCAGGCACGTTTGCTTACTCCTCTGGTAACCTGGGAATTGGTCTGTGCAGGTGGTGTGTGGGGAGAGGCCGTGTGTCCCAGAGCTCGGGTGGACTCATCAGGGCATGGAGGGGCAGTCCAGCATCGCACCAGAGAATTAACATTCACCAGCACCTTGCTCAGCTTGGCTTGGCTGCTTTTTAAATTTGAGTTTACTTAGTCCGTATATCCCTCTCATTTTTCTCCTCCAAGCTCAGGCTGTGCTGTTTGAGGTTGAGCAAATACAATAACTCACTTCCATGCTGTGGGGTCAGCTTTTTCCCCCAGGTTTAACACCATTTCTAATAATCCTTCTCAATAACCCACTAACACATCTGGGAACGCTTGCCTGAAATCGCTTGCCTACATGCCAACCCCATAGGTGCCAGCCGGGCATCATTCAGGTTGGCCTTTCATCTCTCAGTGCAGCCAGACGAACTTGCTCTGATTCTGTTGGTGTTTTCGGCTCTTCCTCCCGTTTTCCATTTACCCACCGTAAATCAGTGTGAGTGTCAGAGCTATGGATGGAAAAGAATTATTTTAGGTACTTGGTGCTGCATCCTGAGTGACACACCTGTAGGCTTAGCTCCAGATGAAGCTGGTTTTCAGGCTTCTTGTCCTGTTTCCTTGTAGTAAGAGATATTACGTGACTTATGTCCAAAACTGGGCTGGAAATTTTCCGTGTTGACCATTTATACCTGTCGCTGACTCCACACCCCATGCAGACGTCTGAGCTCACAACCGCTCAGAAACATGAATTAGAAAACAGGAGATAATCTCCATGATTTTGGCACACGTGGCAGAGCGGCGGAGTTCGAGTTCCCTCTGCTGGCACATGGCAGGACGGGGCTGCCGGCACCGTGCTGCCACCACCACGCAGGGGGGCCCGACCGGCCTGGGGAGAGGGTCTGTGTCCGGAGAGGTCAAGCCGTGCATCCAGTCTCCTGTCTCAGACCCACCCCTAGGGCAAAAGAGCAGGGACAGCTCTTTGGAAAGCCCATGTATAAATCTTGAAGCCTGTTTTGCACACAAAATCACAGCGGAGAGGGCTGCAGGGACAACCTTGGATGCTGGTCCCCATATCCCAGTGGAGCTCTGCAGCTGCGGGGATAAATCCTGGCATGTCTCAGGAAGGTGTCAGCAGCTTTGGGATGGAGACCACCATGGGGTGGGGAGTCCTTGGGGTGCAGAGACCCGGAGCCCCTTCCTCCGGGTGTGCAGCTGCAGGCTTACCTTCTTCCTGCAGCTCCCTGGGGACCATTGGGATTTCTGGATGGCAAACTTGGCTTTTCTTGCACACTTCCAGGGCTGCAGCCTCTAAAACCACGGCTTTCGCAGTTGACCTCACGTTCTACTCACACTGGCAAGAGTCTGCTGTGGCATCTGCCAGATCTGCTGTAGGAGCATCGTCAGGGTTGTGGAGTGTTTCTAGCCTCGATAAATAGCAGAGCTACCTGAAATTGCTTAAAAGACTTTTCTTTCTCAAATTCCTTCTCTGGAGCTTCTTGAGCTGTAAGGTTCTGCCCTGAATGCTGCTTCTACCCGTAGAGAGCAGTGCACGCTCTCCCAAGTATAGTTGGTTTTTTTTCTTTTATAACTATCATCCTCTTCATTTTTGTGGACCTTTTGGGGAAATTCCTCTTCCTTTTCCTGACACTCGCTGTCTTTCTTGCTGCTAAATAATGAAGGAATCCAATAAAAACAAGCCCTTTCTTCCAATCAAAGAAAATCACTTTAACGATAGCTCATGCTGGTCTTTATAGCTTTCCTTCCCACCGCACACGCCCCTCGGCCTAACAGCCGAGATCTGCAGCTCGGGTTTAGTGGCCTGGAAAAGATTAACAGCCTGCATGGCCGAGGAACTCCTTGGGATGAGCTTTGTAGTTGAGAAAGCACTAAATGGCACTGCAGCTTTCAAAACGCTTCTTCGTACCTGTCCGCAGCCTTGTTTTGTCAACACAGCGCTGCTGTTCAGAGGGAGCAGCTCTCTCCTCGGCACGGCAGGGAGGAGAGGAGAGCCCTTCCCCTCCCCGTCCCCCCAGGATCTCTAACAGTAACCTCTCTGAAATGTTGAGCTAATGGGAAAAAAATGATTCTTTCCTGTAATCTGGATGATATTAACCCTTGGGGCTGTGATTTGGTTGCAGTGATTTATTTTTTCTCCTCCCTTTTTCAATGACGAATTACTGGAATGATTTTGATTTTGTTTTGTATGTAGATGCAGATATACAATTTCCTCTTCTGTTCATTCATTTTCCAGCCTTGTTTTCTTCCAGGTCTTGTTGCTCTCCACCTTCTCCTGCTGTGTTGCTGTGTGACGTGTCCGCCTTTACTTCGCCTGCTTCGCTACCATCTCATCTCAATCTCAAGCCGTAGAACAACCTGGTGGTGCAGCCCCTTTCATGAGAAATCAACCTGCTTTTAATTTTGTTTTATGTTTTTTGGTTGGGTTTTTTTTTTCTCCTGATTTGTTTTTCTTCAGGCCTTCACCTAGTAGGGCAACAGACAATGTTAATTCACGGACCTCTTACTCCCTCCTAAACTGAGACTCAGAGAAGGCTGGGCCAGTGTAAAAAGGGTTAAAAAAATTGTGACTCCAAAACAGTTTCCCCGTCTGTCAGTGAACAGAGGATCTGGATTTATGCTCCACAGGCTGGCTTATGTGAACGGACATCTCGTGAGCAGAACATCCCAGGGGAATTGGGAGCTCTGCGCGAGCCTGGGATCTGCCCGCTCCCAATCTGCAAACTGGGAGGCAACAGATGTCCCGTAAAATCATCAGAGACGTTTGAATTTACAAAGCAAAGTCTTCCCCACCAATTTTGTCCCTTCCTTTTTGGTTACGGGCTTCAGCGCCCGGTCCTGGCAGCCTGACTCTGAGCAGCAGTGGGGGGCCCCCAGCCCTCTGGGGGATGTGATGTGCTCAGATTGTTCGTCTCATTTCTGGAATTTGGTGCAAATGTTGGTTGAAAACTGAACATCTCATGTTTTTTGAGTCCTTAACCTGCTGTTCCTTTTTGTGGGAGATGTTAAAAATGATTTTTGGATAACTTGTTTCCCCTCATATGGTTGCCATTGTGATTTTCATGCACATTAGAGGTTCACACAGAGCAAGCAACCCCAAGTTTAGATGCGGCACGCATGGGTCCAAATTTTGTGTCAAGAATCCACCCGGATTGAGCTTTATGGGGAGGTTCGAAATTGAGCTTTAAACCTCACAGCTTGGAGCTCAGCTGGTGCGTGTGTTGGTGGTGGGTTATTGCTTCACGTTCCAAGGTTGTGATTAAACACCTGAGGTTGATACTTGCTCGAACCCCTGGGCATGCAAACTTAGACACCAGCAGGTCCTTTGAAAATTCCAGTATTTCCTCTCCTGTGGGTCAGCGAGCAGCTTTTCATGCTGAAACGGCGTTTTCAATTCCACTTGCAAAGGCCTGTTGTTTGCTTGTTCTTAGGAGCATCCCATTTGGCTTTGGTCTGGGGCTGGCTCCTGTTCCATTCACATTTCTTCATAGTTCTCCTCCGTCCTCGGAGACATGTGTGCCACGGTGTGATGGGCCACTGGGGCGGTGTCTGAGAGCCCAAGTTGTGCTCCCTGCTGTCCATACCGGATTTGCAGACCAGGTTGAAAGGAGGGTAGAGCCCCGGGGTTTTGCAGGGGATGCCCTGCTGTGCCTGCACAGGGTTCTCCTCATCTTCTCATGCCTCTTTAGCTAACACACCCTGCAAGTCAGACCTGGAGGCGCCTACGGACACTCCTCACTCTGTGCAATCCTGTGGGGCTGAGTTTTTACAGGGTATCTATTGCGGTGAACACACAGGATGACCCATAGGTACCTGTTATCTCTGCACCCCAGTTTGGTCTGATGTGTCTCTTGCTCTGTGGCCTGGGGGGCTGTCGATAGCTGCAGTGCTAGAGAGTAAAGACAAAGCTTAAGCCAAAGCTGCTCAATAATCCCTGCTTCTCAAAGATCTGTAAAATTTTCAAATAAAATGTTATTGCTGGTATTGCAAGGGTTTTCTAGATATTTAAGAAGATACTATTTGTGGAGCTGAGTAGCATGAAGTTTTTCCCCACTTTGGCTGCAGGTAAAGTGGTGCATATCAGATCGGGGCGTTTTGCCCTGGATTTGTGCACGCTAGAGCTTGCAGAGAAACAGGGACCAAAAGCCAGGTGTGCATGAACACTGGGTCGAGCAATTCTGCAGCCTTAAATTTGTGGGATTGTACAGCTCAGCGCAGTTGCTGTTCTTGTGTTTAAACTGGCTCTGGTTTCCTCTTTCTCTCTGTTTTCCAGGCGATCCCAGGTAATTGAAAAATTTGAGGCATTAGATATTGAGAACGCGGAACACATGGAAACGAATGTGTCAGCTGGTGCTGCCCTTTCCAGTGAGACGCGGCAGGGCAGGAGCGAGAAGAGGGTTTTCCCACGGAAGCGGGTAAGCTGCTCAGCTGAGGTCTCATGGTGGGGTTTGGAGGATGGAACCTGGGATCTGGCAGCCCAGTATATAGGGTTTAGCTATAGGGTTTGTCCCTGGGTGGCGCGGGGGATCTGGAGTTGCAGGCAGACTTGTGCAGGAGCCAGAATGCTGTGTGTGCTCAGTCTGTGCAGGTTTGCTGCTTGCTGCTGTGTTCTCTTTGCCCAGCTGCAGATCAGAGTGGAAAATCAGGCTGTCTTTTCTCCTTCCTCCAGAGCAGAAAGAGGGAAACTTCAGATCTGACATGGCAGGACACATCAGGATGGGGTGTAGTAACAGAAGAAACAGGCAGGCTTCAGAGTCCCAGTTGTGCTTAGATATATTGGGAACAAATTAATGCCTGAGAGGCCTGAAAAAATGTATTGCCAATGAAATGACACTTGTTCTGAGCCAGAGATGCCCCTTAAAGATGCGGATTTTTATGCCACGAGCCAAGAGAATGGGACTCTCTGTCCTAGTTTCTGCGCTGATCTGGGCTAACGCTATTTACACAGGACTTCACTTGCGAAGGTGCAGCTGTGGGCTCCATCCTGGATGTGTCTGCGTCTCCTCTGTCCCCGCATCGCCGGGCAAAGTCACTGGACAGAAGGTCCACAGAGTCCTCTATGACGGTGAGCTGCTGCGGCTGTGTCCTCTGCCTTGGGGGAGCACGTGAGAGGCCCTTCCTGGGCAGGTCCCGTGAAAGCTCTACTGTGCTGCTTTCCCCAGAGCCAGCACGTAGGACATAGGATATGCTCTGATTCGGAGCAGGTTTCAGTGACTTGGCTTCACACTGCACACTTGGTGTGTTAAAGAGAGCTAACATGTGTCCTGGCTTTGTAACGATGCTTCCTTGATGTTTATGCAGTTGCAAGTGGGTGTCAGTGGGACAAAGGCTGCGAGGAAGGGCTGAACCTGCCCTTCTGAGCTTTCCTCCCTTTGCATATTTCAAATGCTCGCCAGACCTGGAGGCAAACAGTACAGAACAAACACAAAATGCTCTCCTCTCACTCGCCACCCTTCTGCAGGAACAAAATAAATACACTTGCTAATCTCTCAAAAAGATTACACAGCCACTGTAAATATGAGCTGCATTTTTTGTGGATGGACAGCTTCTATTGAAGGACTTCTCAGAAAAATGCCGTAGCTTAGTGTTTCTGTAGTAGCTTTTCATGTAGACTTGTACAGCCACAAGAGTGATTTTTAAATTCTTGGTGGCAATAAAAAAGTGCGAGAAGTGCACATTAAGTGGCAATGCTCATCATCTAATGAAGGCAACAAAATGATGCAATCAGTGTGAAGAAAACCTTTTCCTTGCATTAAATACATTTTTTCCTGCTATAAAAGTAGCAACATAAGAAAAACTTGCATGCCTGCCAGCTTGCAACCATGATTGCAAGGCTCTCCTCTGCCCGTGGGGTTCACTGTGTCAGATCAGATCAGTTATCGGTCAGGATAAAAGCAGAGGGAGAGTTCATCCCTTGTTAGGCTCAGTGCGTTATAGCAAGAGCTGTGGCTTGCACTGCGTAGGTATCTCTTCCATCAAGTGCTTCATCTGATTTTGGTTTCTAAGGTCTTACACCCTTCAGTGGCAGCTGGTCCCAAGCTTTTTGTGCTTCAGCAGCTTTGCAGCTTCAGGCAAAGGCTGTGCTCTCCTGCCTGCCCAAGCACTGGGAGGAAAGCAAAGGGGTTTCTGTGGAGGAGTAGGGATCTGCAGGAGAAACCTTCCTGCTCCGGGTGCTTCTGTAATGTCTTGCTGCAGCCCAGTCTGAAATGTGTGCATGCACTGTTTAGCAGCATCTTTCATCTCTGGCTGCTTCTACACCTTTGCTTAAATTTTAAGGAAGCTAAGAAGTGTACTAAAGTAGTATGGCTGCTAAGGAGGGATTTATCTGCTTTTGCAGAAGATTCTTGCTCTGTGCTTCTTCCCAGTTCCTGGAACCACGATCCCACCTGCACTTCGGCAGAGGAGAAGCAGGCAGGCAGGCAGTGATATCACGCTCTCAGGGTAAATTAGGGCTGAGATTAGAATGCCCAGCTCTCCTAGCCTACTTCAGAGATGGATGTAGTCATTGCAAATGCAATTTTCTCTATAGTTTGTTCGTGGCTTATCGCTGCCTCGTCAGCAGGTCCTGGTGGGGCTTGGTGGGTTTATTGCCTGCAGCCACATCACAGCCAGGGCTGCTCAGGCTGGCGTCTGTCTGCTCCCTCCTCTGACTCTCTGGGGATTCAGGAAGGGCAGGGTGGCATTTACTTTCCCCTGTGTTTTTGTGGAACAGGGCTGGGTTCTCGCCACTGTGGGAGCACTCAAATGTGGGATGTGCCACCCCACAGCATAGGTTTGATTGAATAGGCTTCCAGACCCCAGTTTTCCATTACTCCCCTTGCTATAGCCCATTTCAGACACTACAGCTGCATTTCACGCACTGCTGTCCTTTCCTCCTCCGCTCTGCAGCACATGGAGCAGCTGGAGGAGCTCAGCCTCGAGGGAGTGAAAGCATTTCCACCACATCCTTCCCTGTGCACGGGCAGGGCTGGGAGGAAAGGCTGGTGGGAGTTATCCCACGCTGTCTTCATTGCTTTTCTCAGAACTTCAACATCCCCATGTACCCACTTTGGAGGAAAGAGCAGGTGTCGTTTGGGTGGTGCAGTACTGGGATTCCCTGTATTTCCAGCCTTGGGAACTCAGTCTTGTTTTGAAACCTGCACCCTTGCATCAACAGCACATAGTTTGTCCTTTGTGATATATAATAGAGGGACAAAACTGCCTCAGTCTTGCTAATTCCTTTCTTCTCCTTCATCTGTAATGCTGGTGTAGCAGTAGGAAGTTGCAAGAACAGTGCTGAATAAACCGTACAGCAGGTCTCTGTTCCTCCTGGGAACGAACGTTTAGCCACCACACGGTGTAATTGTCCACTTTGGACTGGATCACCTTTAAAGGTCCCTTCCAACCCAAACTATTCTATGATTCTATGAATTTAACTGTTACTGGTCTCTTTTATTGCTGCGCTGTGTCTTATCAAGCTGCTGCTGTTGTCTTCTGGGCCCAGATGCTTCTTCCTTCCTCTCTGATCACCTCTCTCCTTTCTTGCAGCCTGTTTTACTTCAAGAAGGGCTGGTTGACAAAGCAGTACGAGGACGGGCAGGTGAGTCCAGGGGAAGCTCTACCCTTCGTGTCAGTCTTCGGTGCCGCAGTTGGTCCCAGTTTCTGGCAGCTGACACCCACTCCAACATCCCGGTGTGGTGCAGGCTGTGCATGGGGCTGCTCTTGGCACTGACGAAACCCCGATGTCCTCGCAGGGTAGATCAGTATTGGGCCATGCTCCAGATGGGAGAAACCAGAGTTAGGTGCTTGGACAGAGCAGCGACAGGGAATTTGTACAGCTCTGGAGCCAGGCAGCAGTGGTTGTGTGCGAGCCCTGTGCAAACGATGTTTGTCTTGGAGCAGGAATAGCTGGTGCTCTGTTCTAGGGAGGTTTCAAAGCCGCACAGCTGGATATCGTGTTGTGGGTTTCTAGGGAGTCAGGGCAGCTTGGATAACAGCACTGGTTTCGTGTTCCTGTTCTCTATTAGTCTCATCTCCCTTGCGACACAGCAACCTCTTTGGCGTCAGTAATGAGGCTCAGATAAGGTCTCCTGAGTGCCAGGGAAATGGCAAGGCCAAGAAATAAATACCTCTGAGCTGGCACTGAGGGAAGCAGCCCCTGCCGCTTTCCTCCTGTCCATTCCCGGAGGGATGCAGGATGTGCTGCTCTATCCAAGCATTAGAGATGGGCACTGATGCCGATGTGGCATGGGTGCCCTGGCTGTTTGCAAACCGCCCCTTCCCTGGATTGCCTTCCCTGCTGCTCAGCCCATTGAGGGAAAATGAGGATGACTCGCCCGCAGCTGTGAGCACCATGGCCCGGACTCCACTGCAGGTACCCGCTGGTGCCTTGGGCCGTGGGGCCAAGGGCAGGTCTGTAGGCAGCCAGAGGGGCAATGAGCTGCTGGAGCGAGTGCTTTATTAACTGAAAGCTGCTTTGGATAAGCCTGTGCCTTGCTGGGAGTGTGCAGAAGGCATATTTGTATAGAGCAAGGGCCAGGAATAGGCTCCAACTCAGTTTCTAGGTACTGCAGATAAAACGTGAATGTTTTACTGCTTTTTGGTTTTGTTTTTTCTTTAAAAGTCCCTCCAAGGCTTTCAGTGCAGCCACTAAAAGCATTGTCTTGCCAGCAGAGCTAATGGGGAAGGCTTCGTCTGCCCCTGTGGCTCTCGCGGTGTTTCACCATCACATGCAGGATTGGTGCCGCTGAGGGTCCGGCACTCTGCCAGTGCAGCGGTGCTGGGGAAATTGGGATCCTGGCAGTGCAAGCCATCGCAGTGTCCCTTGCGTTGCTGCCTGTTCAGGTGTCCACCCTGGGAGGGCCTCTCTGTGAAGCTGGGTGTGGAGCTGGGAGGGGAGATGCTCTGAGCTGCCTTTCTGCGGGATGTCTCTGCCGGGTGACCTGTGACAAGCTGCCTGAGCTCCACTGGTGGGGAAGGAGCAGGATTGTAACTGCCCTGTCTTGGTTGTTTCCTAGTGGAAGAAGCACTGGTTTGTGCTGACCGACCAGAGCCTGAGATACTACCGGGATTCGGTGGCGGAGGAGGTAAGTGTCTTCCCCATCGGTATTCAGCCCATCGCTCTGCGCCCAAGTGAGCCCCAAGTGCTCCCAAACTGACCTCGGGCAGGTGGTCTTCCCCAATGCCGAGGTCCTGGAGCATCAATTGCTCTTTGCAGCTTTGTGCTTCTCAAGGAACCAGCCACATGCCTCCCCATGAGCCCACCGCAGTTTGGGGTTGCAAAGCCTTACATCTTATTTTACCTCTTCCTTCTCCAGGCAGCTGACCTAGATGGAGAAATCGATTTATCAACATGCTATGATGTTACTGAGTACCCAGTTCAGCGAAACTACGGTTTCCAGATCCACGTAAGGAAAATGTGGGGAGGAGGAAGAGTCTGGCTGTGGGGCGGCCGTTGGGGTTGCTCATGGTGTGCCACTGCTCGGGGATGCTCGTCCGTAGCAAGGGAAACATCTGCCCCAAACACCTAAGAGAGGTCACGCTGCATCCCCTGCCGTGCTCCAGAGAGCTACGGCCTTGGGTTTGAGAGACAGTTTTTTGGTTCACAAAAGATGGAGTGGGAAACGGAAGGTTTTTTTCTCAGCCCTAGAGTCTCAGCTACGGCAAAACTAGCCCGATTGCTGAGAAACACTAATTCCCACCGTGAGTGTGCTGGGGGATGGAGGGGCTGGGTGCAGCCTCTGCGCAGCCAGTGAGCAGTGCGCCGGTGCTGGGTGCTCAGGGCTGGGTGCAGGGTGGTGCTGGGGGAGTGGGAAGGTGTCAGTGGGTGCAATCAGCCGCTCTGAGCCGATCCTCCTCTCTCTGTAGACGAAGGAAGGAGAGTTCACCCTCTCTGCCATGACGTCGGGCATTCGCCGCAACTGGATCCAGACCATCATGAAGCACGTTCGCCCCACCACTGCTCCTGATGTAACAAGGTAAAGGGGGGAGTTTAACAGCCCCTGTGGTTGTCTGGTTTGCTATGCAGGAGTAACTGTTACTTTATCCTCTTTCTTTCCTCTTCCTGAGCCTGTCCGTTCCTGTCCGTTCCTGGAAGCTGTGGCTCTTTCTCACATCCCTCTCTCTGGGCTTAATTTGGATACGCTTTGTGGGGATGCTGATATGCTGAGTTACTCTTATGTGTGCAGATTTCAAAGAGGGTTGAAAATGTGGCTTTAATTTGTGCATAGGAATATGAAATACTGTTCCTATACCAAGGCTCCTCTGGATTCCCACCAGGTATTGTGAAACCACTTGGATTCAGTTGTGCTGGGTTCCCCCTTTCCTCTGGCTACTGTTCAGCACGAGCTGCCCATCCCCTCTGCGGGTCACGGCAGCACGAGCCCAGGGTTCAATTTAGAAGCTGTTTGGCTCTGATACGTTTTAAACTCCAGCCAGAGAATTGTCTTCCCTCCTCTTTTGATCTTCCAGATAGCTGCCGCAGCTCCTTCCCCTTACGCGTTAGTAATGCTTGCGTCTCCTTCTGCCGTCAGTGCCAGAGGAAGGGACCCCCCGCTTCACAGAGTACTTTCTGTGAGCGCTTGCAGCTGCGGGTAAAGGGTGTTTGACCTCCTCACAGCTAACCGCGCCAGCCACACTTGTATGGGCCACCTCTTACAGGCTTCGTGGACACGGCCGCACCATTAACTCCGTCTCCTGTCCTTACTGTAGCTGCAACAAGCAGGTTTTTGCCAGGTTTGTCCCCGTATTGATGGAATGGCTCTTCTCACCTGGTGCTGTTGACCTGGAGATGCTCCAGCCTCTCCTTCCCTATCCCGCTTGGCACTCGGCCACCATTTCCCAGCCCTGCCCGAGCTCTGGTGGATCTCGCGGGGGTCTCGGGGAAGCCGCCTCTCTCCTCACTCCTGTATATGTTTGATTTCCATGCAATCCCAGGAAAAACTTCTCTTTGAAACTATCCGTGCTGAAGCCCAGGTTGGAAAACTGTGTTCTCTCCTGTATTAACGTTTTGTGGTTTGTATATCTCGTGATTCACTGCATGCTCCTCCTTTTCTGCACCTCGGATGGGAAGTCCTGCAGTTTCCATTTATTTTTCTTTCTTTTCTTTTTTTTTCCCTTTTTTTTCCCTTAAATAAAAGCCAGAGAGAAGGGAAGAAGCAACCTGCTCTTGACACTTGATTTCCCCACACTGGTATCTTCCGATGTGACTAGATATGAAGATGAAGACCAAGGAAAGTTGAGGGGACCTCTCTGCCTTTAAAGACCCAGATATATTTATAGCCTAACAGGTTACTGCAGCACGATAGTCCTGTGCTCTGCTTCTGCTCTGAGCCCACGTGAAGTGGTTTGACTTGGTTTACCCCAGTGAGAGGGTCCAAGCACAGGTACCAGTTGGGCAGTAACTTGTTATGCTGCATAAATAGACCGCGAATCTCCATCTTGAGCTGGGGAAAAGGGAGTTATAGGTGCACTTCTGTTGTTTTCCACCAAGCTAGTTTCGGATAGGGTAGAGTCAACATTGCTGGGAAGTTGTTGCTGTGAGCTGAGGGGCTGTGCCACGCGTGAAGGGGGCTGTGTTCACCCAGTGCCTGCTCGCAAGCCCTTTGCCACGTGTGTGGGTATCCCAGCCCATCCTGCCTGGCTTCGGGCACGCCATTCACATCCGCACCCAGGGAGCGGCTTGTGGACAGGGCTGTTGGAAAGCCAAAGGACAGGCTGCCAAAGGCTCATCATGGAGAGGTGGCAACCGTCTGCACAGTGCAGCCAGGGTGCAAGAGGGACGTTAGTCTGGATGCTCGGCTCTGCTGGGAGGGTGGCAGTGTTCACCCTGTCCCTGGGGCTGATCCGACTCCGCACGCTCCTGCAGCCATCTGCCACATCTTGTTAACCTGCCGCCAGGTCTCCACCAAGCCAAACACACGTTTTCTTGATTACTCAAGTCCTAATTACTGTTTATATTGCTCCATGTGTCAGCATCTGGGGAGGGGGGCAACTGCTACACCGCTCCCTGCCCTCAGCAGTGCCCTGCAATCTGTAGAGACACTAATTACACTCTGCTGACGACCATGCAGATATAAAATACCCACAAGAAAGAAGGTGGCCATTTCAGTGCTGGGTCCTTGTTCAGCTCCCAGCCCTGGTGAGGCTGAGTTCCCCAGTGACCCCCCAGTTCCCTGCAGCCTTCGCATCCTTGCACACTGTGGCAGCATGCTCAGCTCACAACTTGCACCACTCCCACAGCCACCTGTATTAAAAACTTTTTGTTTTGACCTATAAATACCATTGAGAGGCAAAGACCCCCCTCCTCTCCCATGCGATGTGAATTAATTTGCCTGGGATGGAGGAGATGTGAAATGTTTGAGCAGAATTAATAGCCATGGGGCACTTGCGGGAGACAAGAAACTTTCGGTCAGTCTTCTGAGTCTCTTAACTCAGTTCCCAGTGGCCATCCCTCCGCTTCCTGAAACACATGCCATATCCTTTGGAAAGAAGCAGAGAATAAATGAGCTTATGAGAAATGTCACCTCTAGAAATGCCGAGATTCTTCCACGTGGTATTTAGAGCAGCATAATTTCTGTCTCTCAGCAATGTCTGAGGGGCCCCAGGACCCCCTTTTTTCCCTTGCGCTCTTCTCCATTTTAAGACTCCATCTCATCTCTGCTTTACTTATTTAAAATGCAGCTGTAATCACTAACTGACTCCAGATTGAGTGCCTGGCTTTGGAGTCATGCAATATCTCCTAATGATTGAGGAGCGAGGAGGTTTCATTGTGGTGCCTTTTGGGTTTATTTTATTAGCTGCAAGTGACAGAGCTGAAGAAGGAATTATCTCCGAGCTGGTTTTAGCCTGTAACTGCCAGAGTTTCTTGAAACCCAGCTCTACTGAGCCTGTGGTTTGATCGTGGATGAAAATGCATCGGAAGATGAAAGTGCATCGGAAGATACTAGCCCCGGACCCATGCAGAGTCATCTCTTCTGCTCCATTCTTTGTTTTGGGCACATGCACATACATGAGGTTGCTGGCTGCGGGAGCTGGGGTGTGTTACCAAGGTGGGAGGAGAAGCCATGCTGCTGCTCCCTCCCAGTCACGGCAGTTTCGGTGCATGCGGTCCCGTGGATCAGAGCCCCGTTAGTGGTGGTTTGCCTGCAGGAAAGGGCCTGTGGAGCTGCTTTTCAGCTCTTCCCACTGCGCCCTTCCAGAAAGCTTGTCGAGGCTGTGCTGGTGGCTGGAGCCCGGGGGGGATGCTGCAGTTGTACTGGAAGGGGGGAGAGCCAGGAGTCAGCCTGAGCAGCAGGGCTGTGCCTCCCGGGGGCATCTCGGGGGCTTCTGAGAGCAAAGAGGTTTCAGCAAATGCCTGCCACTCCCTCGGGACAGGCTTCCTCTGCAAACTTAGCATACTGCTATTTTCTTTTTTAATTTTGATTTGCATGTTACCAGGCTGGCATGTCTACATTTAATAAGCTAATACTGCATTATGGATTATCCATAGGTTGGGTACGGTATTGCCTTCCCCTGTTAACTTTCCCTGCTTGACGAGTATGTCTCCCCCCTCAACCCACCGCCCTGTAACTCAACACTAAAAACCATTCCTTGCTTGAGAAATCGGCATTTTCAGCGACTTCCATGGTGTGTTGAATAACTCTTGCTCTCCTTGCTGCACTGACAACTGCACATACGGCGTGCAGCCCCCGTGCCGCAAGGCTGGTTTCCCCAGGGGAGATCTGTGCCTTCAATGCAGACAGTAGCACGGAGAAGTTTTCGACCCATTAGTACCCTGACTTTGCCAAGCTTGAGGAAAACCATCCCCCTGTTACCCAAGACCTCTGGGACCTGCTCTGTGCTTCTCTGCGCCACAGCTCTGAAGCCAGACTGACTTTGGTGGGACTGGTGGCATCCTCCCCGCAAGCACGTGACTATGGCCGCGTCGACCGGCATGTGTGCATGGAGCCCCGCAG